ATCGCCTTCCTCCTCGCTATCATCTTCGTAGTCTTCGTCCTCTTCGTCGGAGGAATGTTGCGGGACTTTCACATTGTAGCTGTTGGGCCAGCCTTCCTTCTCCTTGGCTGAGGAGAATAATCCCAATGAAGCGCCCTGTCCAATAAAATAACCAGTGATGCCAGCGAGGATAGCCGTAGCTATCACGTATGCTGTGGTGGAGGGAGGAATCCGGTCTAACTCGGCCATCTTTTTTATTTTTGGAAGTGCAAGGGTGGAAGAAGCTGTTGGGGTATTTTCCATCAGTGTTCTAGCTGGTCCTAGTGGTAGACTAAGATCCAATCTGAGCTCGGGCAGCCGCCACAGCTGCTTCTCGATCAGTCAACTACTTCCATACGGTACCTTCAAAGTCGACATTTTTTTTTTTTTTTTTTTTTTTTTAATCAATCCATCCCACGATCTAAAGGCACATAATAAACTTCTCTAATCGAGATCCCATTTAAAGCAAATAGTAATGGATCGATGGCATCTTTTTCTTTTTTTCCCTAACCAGCTTTAACCCTCAGCATACCACGAAGCAAGCTGGAGGCTGTAGAAATGCACCAACAAGATCCAAAGCGGCATAACCAAGATTATAATTTCTCAAAAGACACCGCTATTGCATTATATATACATTCCCGACGGTGCTGAGATTAGAGAACAACATCACCGTCATCTCCTAGTTAGGGCGAGCTCCCGTGTTGCCCATTCGGCGGCTCCTGTTTGGGATTAGCTAAACCAGAACAATGGCGAGAAAAGGAAGAATTGATACTTACATCATGGTACGACTAGCAAAGCTGATGAAGATCATGAAGAGCCAACTGGGGATAACGCTGAAACCGTGGATGATATAGCCCACGGGAACAAGAAGGTTGTTCTGGGCTAACCAGCCGTCGGTTGGGTGGAGGGCACCTTCGTAAGCGGGTTGCTTCTTGTAGGTCTTCTCGGAATGAACCTTGTAGATGTCCTGGGCCGTCACAGTGGTCGTGTTCAGATACACGATGTGGAGCGGTGTCGCAGCACGACTCTCGCCAAGTTGAGCTTGAGGAACCTCGAAGTACCAAACGGACGGGGCACCTGCAGACCATGTGGAGCACAGGAGCTGGTCCGATTCGCAGTTCAGATAACCAAGATTAGGGGAGGTAGGGTCTGCGGAGAACAGGAGGAGAGATTCCTTCAAAGTAAAGATGATTAGCCAGAGGTTCTCGGGGTACTCGCATCTTCCACTTGCCCCTGTCTGAGGTTCTTACATTGAAAGCTTTGTCCGCGTTTCCGCAACGACCGAAACATGTCTTGTTACCACCAGTAATGTACAGCAGCCAGTCTTGGGGCTCGGAAGATGGCTCCAAGATAGACTGCCAGTTGTTCATATTAAAAGGGGTGACCGTGACAGCCTTCTGCTGGACCTTCTGTTCGACGACCTTATCGACCGTAGGGACGACAGGAGTCGCAGTTGGCAGGTAAGACTTGGCCTTGTTGAACCATCCCTGAACTCGATCCGCAAGGGGAACCTGTTCTTGCGCCGCAGCAAGGGCTGGGAGGATAACGAGAGCTTGAATGAATCGCATGGTGCAGCTAGCAGTCATGACGCGTGTCAGCAACAGTCGGAAGAGGTGCTACCTATAGAGCATATCTATATTAGAAATCGAACGAACCTGAACTGGTTACAATGACGATAAGCGCACTTTGGGATTGAATGGACGGTCTGAAAGGCCAAAGTACGGACAGCAGGAAGCTAGGAAGGCGGGCTCCTGAGTTGTGAAAGAAGTGAAACAGCCACGATGGATGAAAGTGACTTAGTCTCCGCGGCTTGGCGACAGCTGGCCTAAGCGTCGGGAGAGCCGACTTATCAATGTTAGTGGGGGAGCAGCTTTTCGGAGCAGTTAAATAGATGGTCTGAAGCGCAAAGGATTTGATTTGATTGATCAAATGTCTAATGGCATCATTTATTGTGCCAGATACAAGTCAAATCAACTGGAAAGAGATGCCTCTACATCACTGTCGCAAGAACTTTCGTGTTTGTTTATATGATCTCTTAGTGATGACCATTGATTATGTCACCCTGATACCTCTCCTTTCGACCCTACCAACAAGATCGTCTGTTTGATTGTTTCTGGCTTTCTGGATGTTCGCGCCCTAGCAAGATGACTTTCAACACAGGAGTTACTGGATATCTGGGCTAGATTCTTAGGAAAGCTCCAGATCGAAGGAGTCTGATGTTCTCCATTGTACCTTATGACTTCTTTTATCTTTTGAATCTGCTGAGCCGATGTCGATTGGCCGCGGCTTCCAAAAATGGCAGCGTTCAGTACATATAGTAGCTTCTCCTTAAGTTCTCGCAGTAGAACTGCATTGATTGCCTCGTCCTCACAAAACCTGTGTGTCTCAGAGGGGCCTTCTAGCCATTGACATTGCATCACAGAATCATAGTTTTTATCAGACGCATCCTGTATCCACCACAGAGTCAAAAGTATTGATCTGCACCAAACTATCATCTAAGGATCCATCGACAAGTACGGAGATGTGGTGTCGTCTTGTTTCCACTTCAGCCCCGATGGCCTGGTGGCTCATGGTAGCGACCTTGATGGGCCACAGCCTTGGTGCTGCGCTAGGAAGAAGAGCGGATTCCTTGATTCCTTATAGTGAGTGGCTTCGTTATACCGATCAGATATATTGCCAATGCTTTATGTAGCTCACAAACATGCTCAAGCAACTTCGACTCTATTGAACGAGGCTCCTTCACAAAAGTCGCGCAACACTACAAATACCTCGTCATTCCAAGGCGACTTCCCTATCTGTACCGATTTCAATGGTCCAATGGCGCCTTTTTGTCTCCCTAAGGATGGTGCAGATGTTACAGTTGACGCGACGTACTATGTCACATGGAATGCCGACTTCTACCCTCTGAACGCGACGATCACAATCGAGTTGAGATACGCAAACTCTTCTCAGGGAGACTCGGCATTCACGTCTGAAAAGACTGATAACAGTTACGGTTATATTTCGCTTCCTATGCAAAAGGAATGGCTCCAAGGAAAGCCATACAATGCTCTGACACTCTATATCATCGAGCTGGATCCTACGTCGGGTAGCCGAGCTAGTGCCCGGCAAGGCCCAACTGTCATACTCCATCCTAAGCCGATTCAACACTACAAGCCTTCCCCTCAGATACCCTTTAACAGGACGGCTCTGTATATCGGACTTCCAGTAAGCCTTTGTGTTGTCATTGCTGTTGTTGCGGGCCTGGCTTTTGGCATGCGTAAAAGCAGGAGGACCGGACTGAGAGACGTCGTGAGTGCCCGCGGAAGGGGCTACGGAATTGGGAAATCCAAGAACCAACGCCTTGGGAACAAAAGGGAGATTAATGGGCCGGATTCTTTTGCAGCCTTGAATAAATACAGGGAGGACTCTGGTGGAGGGTTCTCCGAATTCGAGGGTTCGGAGAAGTCTCACGGACTCGAGCGCAGCGGGAGCTTTGCGTGTAGACAAGAGGTGTCAAGGCTGAAGACATGGACCAGTTGAGGGGGCCTCGAATTCTCCGTGTTCGCCTTGTGTAGGGAGGGCAATGGGTAGCAAGAGGTGTCGTATCTTCATTTACCTTCGTCTTGACCATACGGTTCTGGAAGGATTTATTCCCTTTGATGCCTCACAGTAGTTAACAAGGAACTCAGGTTCGAAAAGTTTTATCAAGCGATGGTTGACGTATCTTTACGGGGCAAGGCTTATTCTGTCGTTGCGTTGCTTGAACAGGTGATTATTGTATGACAATACTTTGTCTGTCATTTCTCCTGCTCACCATGCGCATCTGCAAGGACAGTGAGAAATCCAACTACCTCTCTATTTATGACAGGTGGCATTCAGATGGTCATAGGCAACAGTAAGAAAATATGATGTCTTCATGATACATGAAACAAATGCTGTGTAGTGCGGTTTCGGTCAAGTAGGAGGATCCTCTACTAAGTACCTCATGCTTTATCCAGTGTGCAGACTGCAGCCACGAATAGATACTACCTTAGGACCTGACGCACTATTATCAACTTTTTCAATGGATCTCGGTATCTATGAGGGAGAATAATAACCATGAAATAAGAGGCTCCGAAGTCTGTACAGTGACTTGTTTCTCTTTTTACTTTTTTGCCTGAATGGATTTTCGATGCCTGGTCAGAATGAGTTCCTGTAATTGTTTCGTTCGCAGCCGAAACCCTCCAATCATTCAGTTCTCAGTTCAAATTAACTAGGCCAATGTCGGTCTAGGTACTCCGCACCTCAAATTGCTGCTCTTCAGTACGAAAATTTCCTTTCCAGACACCAGGAAATCAAACAGATGAAATTAATTCAACATGAGGCTAATTTCTGCCGAATAGATGATCCATCATTTCAGTCAAGAAACATGTGGCGACATACGTACATTCCCTCCAAGGCTTGCCTCGCATGTGCCTTGTCGATAGCTGATTTGCGAGCAATGATATTACCACCAAGTAATGAGTGATTAATCAATGGGGAAAGATCTTCGACTGATGGAGCAATCAGGATTCCGGTTGCGCTGGGAAGAAGCAAAATGCAAGAATAGCATTGGTCTGGCGGAGAAAATCCCCACACAAGCCCATACTCAGAATCTCAGATAACCACAGAGATCATACTGTAGTCGTTCGAGTCCCTCCAAACTCGGCGTGTGAAATTTTCATCGTTCCGCTCAAAGTGCCCAGCGAGTCCGAGTCCGCTTCCCCCTCCGAGTCATAGTCATCCTTTTTCAGACCGCCCGCCCTCATAAACTCCACCCACTTTCTCTCTTCCAGTGTATGACTCTTACCTCCTACTACACATATAAACCCTGAAATTCTTTGGACATCACCAGTGTCAGTCTCTTGACTTTCATCCCATTCCATTTATTGTCAATTGTTACCTAACCTTGGATCCGTCATACAGCCAGTCTCGTTCACTCCGACATTGTAATAGAAATCACCCCGCTCTCAATTTACAAAATGTGCCCCGGTGCAGACAATGAGCCCAATGGGCACACCAACGGCGCCAATGGCACCGGTATTTTTTCACCTGGACACAGAAATGTCGTGCCTGATCCGGACTAATCTCCCTTCTCCCCAGATGCTCACCCCGGCTTCACTGCCGTCGAGACCCGTCAAAACCCTCACCCTTCGGCTTCTCGCAACCCTTATGGCCACAACGTCGGCGTGACCGACTTCCTGAGCAATGTCTCTCGTTTCAAGATTATCGAGAGTACCCTTCGTGAAGGTGAACAGTTCGCCAACGCCTTCTTCGACACCGAGAAGAAGATTGAGATTGCGAGGGCTCTGGATGACTTTGGTGTCGACTACGTGAGTCATAGCCAGCTGGAGTTAACATGTTGCTGGGAGACGTGCATTGACCAAGACGTGCAATATAGATTGAGCTCACCAGTCCCTGTGCTTCCGAGCAGTCAAGAAAGGACTGCGAGGCTATCTGCAAGCTTGGCCTGAAGGCCAAGGTACGTTCGCTACCCTGAATCCCGATCTCAACTCGCATTAGTACTAAAGTGTCTTTGTCACAGATCCTCACACACATCAGATGCCACATGGACGACGCCAGGGTTGCCGTCGAGACTGGTGTTGACGGAGTGTAAGTGTGCCTACCATGATTGACAATCATGGCTGAATTCTCATTTTCTTAATATAGTGACGTCGTTATCGGAACCTCATCCTATCTCCGGGACCACTCCCACGGCAAGGACATGACCTATATCAAGAACACCGCCATTGAAGTCATCGAATTCGTCAAGTCCAAGGGCATTGAGATCCGGTTCTCCAGCGAGGATTCGTTCCGTTCTGACCTCGTTGACCTCCTGTCCATTTACTCCGCTGTCGACAAGGTTGGCGTTAACCGTGTTGGTATCGCCGACACTGTCGGTTGCGCTTCTCCCCGCCAGGTTTACGAACTTGTCCGTGTGTTGAGAGGAGTTGTTAGCTGTGACATTGAAACTCACTTCCACAATGACACCGGGTGTGCCATCGCCAACGCTTACTGCGCCTTGGAGGCTGGTGCCACTCACATCGATACCTCTGTACTTGGTATCGGTGAGCGTAACGGTATCACTCCCCTTGGTGGCCTCATGGCCCGTATGATGGTCGCCGACCCCGAGTACGTTAAGGGCAAGTACAAGCTCGAGAAGCTAAAGGACATCGAGGATCTGGTTGCCGCTGCCGTTGAAGTCAACATTCCCTTCAACAACTACATCACTGGTTTCTGCGCTTTCACCCACAAGGCCGGTATCCATGCCAAGGCCATTCTCAACAACCCCAGCACATACGAGATTATCAACCCTGCCGATTTCGGTATGACTAGATACGTCCACTTCGCTTCGCGCTTGACGGGCTGGAACGCTATCAAGTCTCGTGCTCAGCAGCTCAACATTGAGATGGCCGATGCTCAGTACAAGGAGTGCACTGCCAAGATCAAGGCTCTTGCTGATATCCGTCCCATTGCCGTTGATGATGCTGACAGCATCATCCGTGCCTACTACCGCAACCTCAAGTCAGGCGAGAACAAGCCTCTTCTTGACCTCACAGCTGAAGAGCAAGCTCAATTCGCTGCCAAGGAGAAGGAGATTGCTGGCTCGGGTGTTATTGCTTAAGCAATACGCCATTGTATTGAACATTGTTCGATCCCATCCTTCTTGATTGAAATTTGTTTAGAATTTTGACTCTCTGTTTTTCTCTCAGCGTTTCACAAGGAAGCTCTGGATTTCCTCCCGTCATGATCTGATGTTTTCTTTCTTTTTTTGGTATGTTACGGTATGTCTTGGGATGTTCATATTTACGCGGGTTTTTCAAAAGTCTTCCTTTGTCCCTCAAAAAAAAGGGAGATTGGTGTTAAGGAGAGCGTTGGTTCTCTAAGCTGTATATAGCTAGCAGGCCTTTCAAAGGTCAAATGCATTATCCTTTCTAGTGTCATCCTTTTGTTGATAGTAAGATTGTCAAGCTTCCATGGTAGGGGAAGGCCCCCACTAGTGTCGTTTCATGTCGATGCTCTCTTATTAGTATTGGGAATAGCTAGGTTGCTGTTGCCCATGCACTTTTCCACGATCAGATCGATCGCGGTTGCTTGATCCAAAGTGATGATTGATGATGCATTCGGCATTATTTGGCACGATTAACATGTGGAAGATGAACCGAGGCAGCTTCGACTGGCGCTCTCCTTAGTCTCCGCGGTCAACTTCCCGGAATATCTGATTTAGCCACGCTCTCCTCCAGTTAGTTAATCCACCATCGTCATCACTTACCTAGAGGTGACCTATCCTCATCCACTCTCTTCTGGTTCCTAAAAAGTCTGAAAAATGGCTTCCTCGGTTCTTCCTGTTGCTTTGCAGAACAAACTGCTTGGCTACAGCAGGGCTCCCAATGCGCAATTGGCGGCCTTGAACTTCGACCTGTAAGTGGACGAAGCAACCCATCATTCCCGGTCCCCCGCCCATAGGGAAGATCATGGAGCGACCGTATCTGAGCATTGACACCCGAACTCTAACACGGTGGATACGCGAATTACAGACTTCGGAATATCATCTTTATCCTTTTTCTATTCCGTTATGTTCGCAAGACCTATTACTCTCTCCGCGGCTATGGCATCATTGGCAGCATCCGTAATGTCTACGCTTCAATCCGGCTGTTCTTCTATTCCGTATTTCTGCGTACCCCCGGAGTACGTGGCCAGGTCGACAAGCAGGTTTCAACAGCGATCGAGAATCTCGAGAACAAACTAGTGGCCAGTGGCCCCGGTGTCACTAGGTATCTGACTCTGCCCAAGACAGGGTGGACGCCCGAGCAGATTCGCGCCGAACTCGATAAACTGGCGAACATGGAGCATACCCGCTGGGAAGACGGACGCGTCAGTGGAGCCGTCTACCATGGTGGCCAGGACCTGTTGAAGCTTCAAACGGAGGCCTTTGGGCAGTTTGGCGTCGCAAACCCCATCCACCCAGATGTTTTCCCTGGCGTTCGCAAGATGGAGGCTGAAGTGGTTGCCATGGTAAGTTTTCGACGTTGTTTGGATGACGTGCTTGTTTAATATGGAGTATTTGTAGGTTCTCGCCTTGTTTAATTCTCCTTCGGATGGCGCCGGTGTCACTACCAGCGGAGGTACCGAAAGTATTCTTATGGCCTGCTTGGCGGCTAGACAGAAGGCATTCACAGAACGAGGTGTGAAGGAACCTGAAATGTGAGTCTTGTCCTATGCCTCGGACTGCTGGGGGGGATTGAATTGCTAACATTCAATGTAGTATTATTCCGGATACGGCCCATGCTGCATTCTACAAGGCTTGCAATTACTTTGGAATGAAGCTTCACCGCGTTCCCTGCCCAGCTCCGGAGTACAAGGTTGATATTGCTGCTGTGCGGCGCCTAATCAATCCCAATACTGTTCTTCTGGTTGGCTCCGCGCCCAATTTCCCTCATGGAATTGTCGATGACATCCCTGCTCTATCCCGACTTGCGACTAAATACAAGATTCCTCTTCACGTCGACTGTTGTCTGGGCTCCTTCGTCATTGCATTCCTTAAGAAGGCCGGCTTTCCCTCCCCTTATGAGGAAGAAGGAGGGTTCGATTTCCGCCTTCCGGGCGTAACTAGTATTAGTGTGGACACACACAAGTATGGTTTCGCACCCAAAGGCAATTCCGTGCTCCTTTACCGCAACAAGACATACCGCAGCTACCAGTACTTCATTTACCCTGATTGGTCCGGTGGTGTGTATGCGTCTCCCTCCGTGGCAGGATCTCGGCCAGGTGCTCTGATCGCAGGCTGCTGGACCAGTCTGATGAGCGTTGGTGAGACTGGCTACATCAACAGCTGCCTTGAAATCATGGGCGCGGCGAAGAAGTTAGAAGCATCAATCAAAGAACATCCAGTTCTGTCCAAGAATCTCGGTATTGTCGGGAAGCCCATGGTCAGCGTGGTCGCGTTCCAGAGTCAAAACGGTGCCATTGATATCTACGACGTCGCTGATGGTCTGTCAGCCAAAGGCTGGCACCTAAATGCTCTCCAGTCTCCCCCAGCGATCCACGTGGCATTCACAATTCCGACAGCGGCCGCAGTCGAAAAGTTGACCACCGACTTGGTCGAGACGGTGGAGAAAGAGCTAGAGAAGGCCGAGGAGAGGAAGCGGCAGGGCAAGTCGTATGTGCTCAAGCGTGGCGACACATCCGCACTGTATGGTGTTGCTGGCAGCATTCCCGATAAGAGCATTGTCAGCCGTCTCGCTGAAGGCTTCCTGGACACCCTGTATAAAGCCTAAAGGTTCATACTTGATTGGATGGTTGCCATGGTTTTCGCAGGTCGCTCAAAACGTTGAATCGTTTCCTCACCTGTGAACCTCGGATTCTTTGAGATATTGGGTTTCCGATTAAATGAGATAGCTACGGCAGTGGCGTTCAAGGCGTTCAAGCAGGTTACTGTTTATACATTATATGACCGTACAAATTGTTCTTCTCATCAGACCTTCGAAAATCAGTAACACAACACCAATACAATAAAAAAAAAAAGGGGGGGTAACAACCAATTTGACATCCTGGTATAACAATGCTGGCACAAGATATGTATAATACATGAATCGTTGAGAAGGATGATACAGGGTTGGGTTGGCCATGTGAACAAACATGGCCAGGTTTGAGAGGAAGTGTAGATAAGATATAACGTTTCTTCAGGCCGCAAATGGTGTTCAAGCATCAGCACAGTAGGCACTGAAGCTTCAATGCATAATGATTGCATCGAAGATGTTGAAAACCACCGTTTCAAAGGCGCCCACATATGCTTAGGAAATCAATACCTTCACACGAAACAACCGGAAACATCCCAGCCGGCTCACATGGCCGAGAAATAAAGCAAAAAGTTCGTAGCAAGACCCGCATTCTATGCCGACCTATTCTCGCTCCATTCTTCATTCGATGCCTTCTCGACATAGTATCCGGGATCTGGTCTCCGTTCAGCACGGACTTCTTCTTTTGTGAGCCGCCTGTCGACTTCTTGCACCTCCACAAGTTCCTTGACCTTCATGATCTGACCAGCTACCGATGACGATACTGGGTGGAAGACCGTCGCCATGCGCTTTTTGAGTCCGAGGGCCTTGAGGACGTCTGTTGTTCGTCGGGGGAGACCGATGGCGGAGCGGAGGAGGGTGACACGGAAGTAGCTCATGTTGATGGGTATATGATTCTTCTGTTCGGATTGTCGGTTTTGGAGCGCTCGGAATGTGGAATCAATTGGCTTGTGTCTGCTGTCTTTGCTTGTAGTTGCGGTGTTCGATATGAAGTGCAACAATGGCCTCGCGGAAATTTCTCTCAACGAAAAGCCGCAACAACTCAAGAATCGCAATGGACAATCTATGCGAGGAAACGAGTGAAGTCTTCAGATTGGCATAAAGAGTCTTACGCTCCACGCCCGCTCAATTATCTCGATTAGCTTGATATCTATTGTCCGCAAAATAGCGGGATTTTCTTTTGCTGATATGGTCGGTCAGCCAGGCGGAGAGTCACGTGTATTATGTTCTGCCAGTGTCCCAAGCGGCGGGCGGGTGGACTTCATGTGTAACTTAGGTGAGAGGTACTCCCCGTCATTTGCATTCATCAAAGCACGGTGTCTAGCTTATGGGCTGCTGCTGGGAATTGCGTCCAGCAATCAGCAATCTGGGTATGGAAACCAAAACAGGAGCTGTGGATTCCATAATCTAAGATTCCAGTCGAAACGGTCCACTTCCTTTCAGATAGACACCCTGTGATAGGAACGCTGCGCGCTTATCCTTCGCTACGTTTGTCTCGGGCGCTGTATTTGCTCTGTCCACTTTTGTATTGGACTTACCATTCTTCTGAGGTTGCTAAGTCTCACATACTAAGTCGACATTCGGTTCGATTTACGCGCTGCTCTATCCTTCGAACGCCCCTCCAAGAGCAAAACAGCGCATAGGGGGCGCACTCGGACATTGATAATAACTTCTCAATTAGGTATTTAGCAACATGGCGCGAGAAGGAGACTCAGACGGCGCGTTGGCCATGCCCCGGCTAGACGAAATTCTGCGCCACCCAGAAGACCTGGATAAGATTGCCGGATTGAAAGCCGAATACTCGCGAAAGAAGGGAGCAGTTGACTCACAACTCCGGGAAGGTCTCCGGCATCAATTGGAAACAGTTCAACGAAGTATCAATGCCTTAACCGAGGGCCAGCGACAGGTCACGAAGACGAGAGACGAACTTCAGACTATAGACAAGCTGTGTGCGGAATCACAAACAAGCGTCGAGGACTTTTCGCGGATTGATAGATTGGCCAAAGTACAGCGGAACTTCGAAGCAACCTTGCTGATGAAGAAGGGCTTGGAGAACTTCAGTACTGACCTTGCTGAGGTCGAGGAGCTTCTGCGAGAGGATGACGAGGATCTCGAGAATCAGCCGAATTTGTTACGGGTGCACATGCAGATCTCGCGGTTGAGAGATTTTCGGGACGAGGCAATGGACCAGATTCGCAAGGCTCAGGATCCGAGCAGCGAAGCGACGTTGGCAGACTACTTTCAAGGCCTGGATTCTGTCATTGAATGGTTTGATGAGCATCTCGGAACCGCTTGTATGAATCTCATTCCGCTAGTGCAGTCAGACAACCGGAGTATGGTTGTTCGGCTGGGTGTGATTGTCATGACTGAGGAGAAGAATGACGCGACGGTGCGCGCTCTTCAGGAGGCACAAAAGGATCATCAGGACCTGGCAGGCAGGTTTAAGTCCATGAACATTGGTCCTAAAACAGTTCGTGGCTACAAAGAGAAACTTATGCAAGCAATCGAGTTGTATGCGGACAACCAGTTTCTGCAAACTAAGGAGGCGTTTTTGGACGATCCTGAGAATCTGGATAAGAGCTTCAAGTGGTACTTCAACGACCTCTTTTCCGTTCAGCAAGGCATGCAAGCGCTGCTTCCGAAAAAGTGGAAGATTTACAAAACATATACGAATATTTATCACCGAATGATGCATGATTTTCTAATCGAGCTCATCAATGACCCTGAGTTACCGGCAGACAACTTGCTTGCGATACTTCACTGGAGCGAAAAGTATTATAAGAAAATGAAGAAGCTCGGCTGGAAGCAATCCGAGCTCCAACCGAACATTCTTGACGACCGTGAGCCTGAGCTCATCCGACAGTGGCAAAACATCATTATCAAAGCTGTGGAGGAATGGATGGATCGTATCACCGAAACAGACAGGAAAGGACTCGTCGAGCGCATTCCCGATTCCCTTGACACCAACGCAGAAGGATACTTTCGTACAAAGACCCTTCCAGATATGTGGCGTATGCTGCACGAACAGATCGTGGCTTCCGGCGCTTCCTCTCGGACAGATGTTGTTGAGGGCATCATTGATGCTATGTTCCGAGTGCTCAAGAGTCGCCAAACGAACTGGCAGATGCTCATTGACGAGGAATGTGGGAAATATAAGGCGGTGGGCGGCGACCAACTTGAAGGCCTCCAGCTATTGCAGGATTGGCTCATTGCCGTTGCCAACGATCAGATCGCCTGCATTGACGACAATGACGAATCGGGGCAGCTGGGATACTTGAGCAAATTCAAGCGCGATTTCGAGCCATCCGTGGATCCGAAGTATATGGCCTCACGAGCCACACCTGAACTCGACGCTCTGCGGGACGGCTATGTGGACTTGAGTACGTATTGTCTCACTCAGTTCGTCGAACTCGTCTTCGCTGTCGACTTCCGCACCACTATCCCAGACTTCTTCACCCAAAAATGGTATGGCGACTTTGCCATCAAGCGAATTACCTCAACTTTTGAGGACTACATGACCGATTACGCTGCCGTTCTCCATCCTTCCCTGACCGACATCCTGGCTGAAGAACTATCCGACGAACTTCTGATCCGATATCTATCATCGGTCCGCAACAAGGGGGTCAAGTTCAAGCGGCACGTCGATCCGTACACCGACAAGTTCAAGGATGACGTCCTTACAGTCTTTGCTTTCTTCCAGAAATACCCAGACTCATTTGCTCCGATCAAGCAGAAGTGGCGGCTGGTCGATTGGCTTCTCCGTTTACTCGAAGCAGAGAAAGGTCCGGCTCTGGTTGCAGTTTACGAGGACTTCAAAACGGAATACTGGGATTTGCAGTTGTCTTGGGTTGAAGCAGTGCTGAGGACTAGGGATGATTTCGAGAGAAGCATGATCAGCGCCATCAAAACAAAGGCGGCGGAATTGTCAATAGAAAGGGGAACAGAGACGCTCATGAGCCGCGTGCGGTGATGCTATTGGTTTGCCAGGCTAAGTTGAAGGCATTGAAGGTGTTTGCTTTTTTCCCATTCTATGGTGGCACCGTGACTTGTCATCTGTCATTGGATCTCTCGGGGAGATATCCTACCAGCGAGGCGTTTTGGTGTCTTTCTTGTTCGAGGGTAAATACCTCAGGCGCGGATCTCAAATGTCAGTACGACAGGAGATTCCTCTAATGAGCATGCCCTGATTATAGTATATATAGAGGCCATTCGAATGCTCTATATTTTGACGCCGCCCTCAACGCTCCCATCGCTGCTGCTAGCGTCATTAGATTCTTGGTTATCCTGGTGGCAAGCTTTGCCCTCGGCGACTTTCGAGTCCCCCGCATATGTGAAATCCAGGCTTCTCTCTGCCACAACTCGGTATTTCTCTCCCAAACGTGCATTCATCCCACTATCGTCAGGATCAAGCTTCTTTGCGCCCATCTCACATATACATATTGTCTCTAGTGGGAAGTCCTTCGCCCAGAGGAACGGGAATGCATCTACCCTCTTCATAGATGACATTTTCTGTTTCTTTTCCGGGGGTGAATTGCGAAACTCGCTGCCACTGCCGTCTTTACTGCTGGCGGAATCTGACCCACTTTCGGTACCAGTCTTGTTGTTACCGATTTGTTGCCTTTCTATTTCCTTGGGGTGAGAGGTCACTGTAATGGAAGTAGACCGCGGCGTTACCCTTTGACTATCAAGGTAATAGTCTCGGTAGTGAGCAAGGATATCCCGTGCATCGAACGTGTATTGACTGTTTCGGCGGCTACCGCTGTTTTGAGGGCCTCCTCCTCGCCGTCGACCACGGACATAGATAGTGTTCACTACCGTAGCATGAAGGAGAAGCGGTCGAGCTTTGAGCTTAGACTTCGTTTGCGCGGAGGTGACGACCGTGGTCGTGATGGGTTCGCGAGTTTGCGAATGTGCTTGTGCGGACTCGTCCGCCAAATCCACGGGCATTTCTTGAAGAAGAGTTGTATGATTCTCGATTG